GGCGCCGCCGCCGCCAGAGCTGTCGCTGCTCCCGCCACCGCCGCCACCGACCCCAGCGACCCCGACGTCCTCGGCGGCCACGTTGGACCTGGGCGACCAGAGGGAGCGCTGGGAGACGTTCCAGAAGCGGCAGCGGCTCACCTGCGAGGGCGCAGCCAAGCTCCTGCTGGACACCTTGTGAGTGCGGTGGGCTCTCCTGACCCGCAGGTTCTGGTCCTTGTTCCGCCCTGCGTCTCCCACGTAACGTAGCCGAAGCGCTGCCGCTGCCAGCACCCAGGGTCCATTCGTAATTGTAACGGCTGCGCGGGGACGTGCGGCCGCTGCCCTGGGGCGCGTTTCGCTTAGCCGGGAGCGGGCGGCGGGCGGCCTGGGGCACAAAGAGTCGTCTCGGCGAGGCCCAGCATGCTCCAGACATTGTGCCTTGTCCTGGAGCGCAAAGGGCGCGCGGGCCTACCCTAGAGAAAAGATAAATCCCGCGACTTTCCTGAGACTTGCGTCTCTTCTTGATATTTGCCCAGGGTTTTCTTTTTTCTGGGGGCTACGGGTGGGGGTGAGTAGAAAAGGGAGGGTGGTTGAGAAGGGCTTTAATAGTTTTGAACTATTAAGTATTTAAACTATTAAATATTAAAAATGTTGACATAACAAGATGAAGTATTTCTCACCTGTCAGAATGGCGTGAGTACGTACAATTTTTTTAAAGCCATAACCCACTAAATTAACTTATACACAAAATGTATAACACTACACCGTATTTGTTAGAATATTAATGTACAGAAAAAAAGTCCAGAGGACTATAACGGGAGATCCCATTATTGTTCCAGACGCTCCTCGAGGGGAGCAGAGGGTGGGGTTAATTGATCTCGGAGAGAAGAGCGCCCAAGGGGGAGATGCTTTGGATTGAGGAAAGCGGCAGGATTCCCTAGGGGGAGGGAGGCTCTTACCAGGGTGGCTTTCGGCTCCTCCAGCTCTGCTGCTGCTGAAGAAGACCTCCAGCTACTTAGATGGCCAGGAGAGGGTTTCAGAGCGTGTCCACGACACTGGAAATAAGCTGTTAACTCTGGCAAGGATTGCTTTCTTTCACCCAAATGTGACAGCATTTGGATCCCTGCCCTGTAGAATAATTGTGCTACATCTTAATATATCTACATGTCAGTTATTTTATAAATTTAAAAGGTCATCAAAGCACTAGGAAAAAACAAGAACAACCTAACAATTGCATAACAATCTGAGAATTACACCTTTTCTTGAACAAAAAATGTTTCTTTGTCCTTTTTCCAGAAGACATTCTCTTAGTTAGGATGAGTCTTCTCAGAGATGGAATATTTGGTTTTCTGTGTGGTTGACTTTTTGCTTTATCATGTTGGACTATCATGGCTGATATCATGCTGGACTTCATATTTAATCATTTTAGATTCATCGTTCATCAAACATCTGTTATAGAGTATGTATTTTCAGAACTATAAGACTCAAATTTGAGGTAAATTTTACTTTAAAACTGATCCATGGTCAAAAATTTTAAAATATTGATATAACAAAATGAAGTTTTTTTCACCTGTCAGATTGGCATGAGTATGTACTTACAGTAAAAAAAAAAAAAAAAAGCGATAACTTACTGAATTAACTTATACACAAAGTGTATAGTACTGCATAGTTTTTGTTAAAATTTAATGTATAGAAAAAAGTCTGGAGGAATATGTACTAAATAATTAACTGTGGATTCGTCTGGGTGTTAGGATTATGGAAGACTTTTACTTTTAACATTATCTAATTTTGTAATGTTTAAACTTTTTACAATAAGCATTGTTTGTGTATACAGAAAACTTTTTAAATACATAAAATTAAATGATGCAACTCGTAAAGAAATGTGAAAAAGCATTCAGTTTTAATCAAATAAATGCAGATTAAAACTTCAGCGAGCTATTTTTCTTGTAATTATTGATTGAGAAGCTACAGTGAAATGTTTCCTCATTCTTTACTGGTAAGAGTATTCAGCCCTTCTGGAAAGCAATTTGTTGATATTTATAAAATCTTAAAATGTTCAATTATAGGCCTGGCTTATATATAATAGTTTTAAAAAGGATTAAGATTGTGTATAATATGCATGTATAGCTATGTAAAAAGTCATGAAAAACATTGAAAGGGAATATAGCAAAATTATAAGAGCCCTTGTTACTTTCTCAGAAGTCTTTTCTAAACCACCAGACTCAGTCAGGTACTCTGTCTTACTTTTTTGCAGCAGCCTGTACCAGGTTTATCACAACTGTAATTAAATATTATTTGGTTAATTTGTTTGATGGCTGCTTGAGGTTGGTAAGAGCAGGACTCTTGTCTACTGCCTAGCTCATAGAAGTTCTTACCAAGTATCGGATGTATAAATGAAAATGTTTGGGTAGTGGGATGAGGATCCTCCCCTTATCACCACGTTTTCCAGATTTTTGGAATGTTTTATTTTGTAACTTAACAGAATTTGAGAGATGGAAAGAAGAAAGCTCATGGATAAAGAAGGCGGTCCTTCCTTAGAAGCATAAATGCATCAGGTTGCCATGTATAAAAAACTTTTGTCTTATCTTGCTTCTCTCAACAACAATAACAGAGAGAACGAGAAGGCGAGATCCTGAGCTATGCAGTGAGGCCCCTGCCGGATTATTCAGAAGTTCTTACCTTTCTGCGTTTTGTTTCATTTAGCGAATACCAGGGCCTGGTGAAACACACAGGGGGTTGCCACTGTGGAGCTGTTCGTTTTGAAGTTTGGGCCTCAGCGGACTTACACATCTTTGACTGCAAGTAGGTATTTTCTCCTGCCAACTTGGCTTAAAAGGATTTAGAGTTAAAATGAAATGCTTCAGAATAATCTGGGGAATTATGGTATAGCTGAAACAGCCTTGGCCTTGAGTTGATAATTGTTGAAGTCAGGTGATGGGTACATAAGGATACATTGTGCTATTCTTTCTTTTTTTAAAAAGGTGAGGGACACTCAAAATAACTGAGCCTGCTGTGTGTGTGATGTGTGTATATATGTGTGTGTGGTGTGTGGGGCCTGCTGTGTATGTGTGCGTGTTGTGTGGTGTGTGTGTATGTGTGTGTGTGTAGCCTGCTGTGTGTGTGTGTGCGTGTTGTGTGTGTGTGCTCACTGTGTATGTATGTGTGTGTGTGCATGTGTGTGTGGTATGTGGCTCCTGCTGTGTGTGTGCATGTGTGTGTGGTGTGTGGAGCCTGCTTTGTGTGTGTGTGCGTGTATGTGGTACATGGAGCCTGCTGTGTGTGCGTGCGTGTGTATGCAGTATGTGGAGCCTGTTGTGTGTATGTGCTGTGTGTGGTGTGTATGCGTATGTGTGTGTGTGGTGTGTGCGTGTGTGTGCACGTGTGTGGAGCCTGCTGTGTGTGTATGTGTGTGTGCACGTGTGTGTATATGGGAGGATGTCACAGAGCTTCCTCCTACAGCACAGCCCCAGGTGACACAACAGCAGGGTCCTCAGCTTGTGGCTGGGAGTCACACCCGACCCTCAGACTGAGACTGCTGCTGTTGATGGGGAGGGTTGGTTAGCTGGGAGGTGGGTCAGGCTGGCCACTGAATGAAAAGCCTTGGGTAGAATTTTCCTGGGAGCCCAGAGTGGGAGAGGGTAGGTGAGAAGGGGGTGTGCACACTGGCAGCTGACCACGCTCTCAGCCCTCCTGCTCTGTTCTTCTAGGTGAGGCATATGGTACTGCCCATGCCTGTGGAAGGCCTGCTTCTTAGCACCGTCCTGGCAGTGTGATAGAATAAGGACGACAGGCCCTAACTTCTGGACCAGTAGTTGGCATAGAAATAATTACTCAAACATACCCAGTCTTTTCTGCCCCTAGGTGGAATCTGATTATATATAAATAATAAACACCATGGAATTACTCAAACGGAGAAGCAACCAGGCTACTAACAGATTGGGGAAGAAGAATCATGGATAATTTATTAGAAGAATCTGTACTAAATTAGAACTTAAAAAAGATGGACTGAAAGGAGGGGACTTCAATTTAATTCCAAAGACGGTGATTCTGAGGACCTGTTCTGCTTGGAGCTAGGCTTTCTGGAGATGAGGAGAGAGAGACACTTAAGCCTCCTTGTTCATTTTTGGTGTGGATATCCAGGAGACAGGAGACTGTAGCAGTGTCTGAAATTTGTTTTCTGAGTGTCTCTGGAACTCATCGTTTCTTTCCCCTTTGCCTGGTTTTCTGAGGGGTGCATGGGCTCAACTGCTGCCTGGGGACCTGTGGGCTTTTCTGTACACGCGGGGCAGGGGTTCCAGGTGCCTGCCCATCTGCCGAAGCTCGCCCTTCCCTGGTTGGTGCTGAAGGGGCTTCACCTTTGTGGTCACCTGGCTCTTGGAACACATCAGGCAGGGTGTCTTGGGCACAAGAAGATGCAGATGGCTATTCACATTCTGGGATTTGCTCTTTTTGTAGCTGCAGCATTTGCAAGAAGAAGCAGAATAGACACTTCATTGTCCCGGCTTCTCGCTTCAAGCTCCTGAAGGTTAGTGCTTAAAAGCAGGGTTGAGGTGTTGAGACCCCTTTGTGAGGCTCCCTGGGCCCCAGATTGCTGCCTGCCCTCAGCACAACATGGGGGAGGGAGCATCCCAGCCTTTCTGGGAGTGTTCATCTCCTTTCTTTACCCTGATTTCATGTTTGCTCATTTTTAAAAGGTTATGTTATTTTTTTTCCCTTTATGTTTTGGATATATATTTGATATTGTGGAAACATTTCAAAATACAGAGAATCAGAAAAAATAAATAAAATCACCCAAATCCTATCAACCAAAAGTAAACACTGTTAATATTTTGGTATATGTCCTTGTTGGTTATTTTCTACACAGATAAATAAATTTAAATATATTGTATATATTTTTATCAAAGTAGGATTTTACCTTTCTTTCTATTTTATGACCTACTTTCATCATTTCCCAATGAAAAAACATATATTTAAAACTGTTTAATTTTATTATTTTGGGGACTTTTTTATAGTTGGTACAAAATTTGAAAGATGGAAAAGTACATATACAGTGAAAAGTCTTTCTTCTTCTCCTTTAGCCACCCAGTGCTCCTCTCTCTCACAACCAGTTTCCTAGTTTACTTATACCATCATTCCTATTTTTGCAGCATATTTTGTTATATGAATGTAGCATAGGCAGATTCCTGTGTTTGGACTTTCAGGTTGAGTCCAGTTTTTTTTCCAATTATAAATAAACAATACTGTGATGAACTTCCCTGTGTACAAATCTTTGACAATTTAGAAATTATTTCTTTAGAATCCGTTCTCTTACAAATAAAATCTTTGGGTCAAAGAACGAACACTTAAAAAAAAAAGGCTTTGGTATATTACTAGTCATGCGAGTGGGGGTGGGGCTTTAATGCCATCCTTTGTTCCCATTCCCCATTCCGCCATCACAGTCTGACGGACCTCTGTTCCTACCAGTAGTCTTGGCGTAACTGTTTCCATGTCTGCCTCCATTACTGGATTGTGAGTGTCTCCAAGGCAAGCAACGCTGTTTTCATGTCTGGCCCAGCTCCTGCATCATCAGACTTGGCACTCAGTGGGTGCTCAGTGAGGGTCTTGAAGGAAGGACTAGCAGATTGAGTGCCTGTTTGAGTCCTGGTCTTTCTGAGTTAGGTAGATTTCATCCCAAATGCTTGGGGCCAGTTCATTTCCTTTTCTTTCTCTGCGCCTTGATCCTGGAACATGTTGATGTGTAGTGTGGGTTGTCTGGTGGGGGAGGTAGGACAAGTGGCAGCATACCTGTCCCTTATCTTTCCTATAAATTCATAAGAGGGCCAGTATGCCATCCTGTGCCTGCTGGAGGCTGTGGTCTCAATCCAGCTTTGCTCCTAAGCACCTGTGACAGGCTGTTCCTGAAGACATCACCACCGACAGTCTTGGGTCTCTGAGCTGATGCTTATTCTTGGGCCTGCTTATCAGCACATTTTTCTGGTGCTCTAGAGCACCATTCTCTTTCTTAGCCTAGGCCCATTGAAGGAGCAATTTTCTGTTTGTTTTTTAAATTAAGTTCAAAACTTATTTTTTCATTCAGCGAATAATGACAGGGCACCTGCAGTGTGGCAGAGTACCTCAGTGGTGCAAACATTTAATGCACTTGGCTGCTAACTGAAAGGTTGGAGGTTCGAGTCTACCTGGAGACACCTCAGAAGAAAGGCCTGGTGATCTACTTCTGAAAAATCAGCCATTGAAAACCCTGTGGAGCACAGTTCTACTCTGACACGCTTGGGGTTGCCATGAGTCGGAATCAACTTGACAACAGCTGGTTACTGTGTGGCAGTGACTGTTCTCAGTGCTGAAACACCGCGGTTAGGATGACTGACAAGGCCCTTGTTCTCCTGGCGTTTGTGTTCTACAGAGAGGGGAGACAGATAACTAAATAAGAAAAAAAATCCAATAATTTAAGTGCTATATAGAGAATTAAAGTATGTCAGTATGGTAGAAAATAGCTGGGTGCCTCCTTTAGATTAGCTAGGGAAGGTCTGTCCATGGTGTTCAGATCGGAATGATAACAATGGTATGTATGTGAGGGGGCATGGGCAGGAGGGATATCCTAGGCAAAGGGTAGATAGTGCAGAGGACTTAAGGGGCATAAGCTTGGAATGTTTGAGGAGCTAAAATGGGCCACTGTGGCTGGGGGGGTTGGGTGGGGATGAGAGTAGACCAAGATGGGGTTAGAGAGATGGGCAAGACCAGGTAAAAAGACCGGCGTTATTCTTCGTGTAGTGTGAAGCCCTTGGGTGTTGTAAGCATGGTAGTGACAAGACCTGATTCAACATTTTAAAAGATCCCTTTGGCTGCTATGTGGAGAATGGATTGTAAGGATGTAAGTGTGGAGACAGGGAGGCAGTTAGGAGGTTGTCATAGTAGACCAGGGAGCCGATGATAGGAGCTTGGATTAGGATGGTGGTCATGGAGATGGAAAGAAAATAGATAATTAAAGGTGTGTTTTAGAGCAGTGGTTCTCAAACTTTAGCATGCTTGCGACCGCCACAAATTGCTGGGTCTTGCTCCTGATTCAGTAGGTCTGTCATGGGACCCAAAAATTTGCATTTCTAACAAGTTCTCATAGGAGCTCTGATGGCACAGTGGTTTAAATGCTCAGTTACCAAAATGTTGGTGGTTTGAACCCACCAGCCACCCTGCAGGAGAATGATGCGGCAGTCTGCTTCTGTAAAGATTTACAGCCTTGGGCAGAATCATACAGGCTTCCTAAACACATCCAGAAACCTTGAGGGACAGAGTTACTGGGGATGAGGGCTGGGGACCATGGTCTCAAGGGACATCGAAGTCAGTTGGCATAACATAGTTCATAAAGAAAATGTTCTCTGTTCTACTTTAGTGAGTAGCGTCTGGGGTCTTTAAAGCTTGCGAGTGGCCATGTAAGATACACCTATTGGTCCTATCATGTTCAGAGCAAAGGAGAATGAAGAAAACCAAAGACACAAGGAAAATATTAGTCCAGAGGACTAATGGACCACATGAACCACAGCCTTCACCTGCCTGAGCCCAGAACTAGATGGTGCCTGGCTATCGCCACCGACTGCTCTGACAGGGATCACAATAGAGAGTCCTGGAGAGAGCGATAAAAAAATGTAGAACAAAATTCAAATCCACAAAAAAAGACCAGACTTACTGATCTGACAGAGACTGGAGGAACCCCTGAGACTGTGGCCCCTGGGCACCCTGCTAACTCAGACTGAAGCCACTCTCAAAGTCCACCTTTCAGCCACAGATTAGACAGGCCTATAAAACAAACAATAACACACGTGAGCAATGAGCTTCTTAGTTCAATCAAGTATACAAGACCAAATGGGCAATGCTTGCCCCAAAGCAAAGGAGAGGAGGCAGGAAGGGACAGGAATACTGGACAAATGGACACAGAGAACCCAGGGTGGAAAAGGAAAGGGGAAGAGAGCTGAGACATCGCAGGGATTGCAACCAATGTCACAAAACAATTTGTGTATAAATTTTTGAATGAAAAACTAATTTGTGCTGTAAACTTTTTCACCTGAAACAAAAGATTTACAGCCTTGGAAACCCTATGGGGAACAAATTCTCAGGTGATGCTGCCCTGTATGTGGCCCAGAGGTGCAAGAAGCTGGGCATCACTGCCCTGTATATCAAACTCTGGGCCACGGGAGGAAATGAGACCAAGACCCCTGGACCTGGGGCCCAGTCTGCCCTCAGAGCCCTTGCCAGTTCAGGAATGAAGATCAGGCAGATTGAGGATGTCACCCCCATCTCCAACAGCACCTGCAGCAGGAAGGGGAGTCGCTGAAGTCATCATCTGTGAACAAAGACTCCTAAATTATTGTTTTCTGTTAATAAATTGCCTTTGTGTAAAATTTTGGGAATGAGCAACTAGTTAAATGGAGATACCAGATCCTGGGGGAGAACCAGTTGTGGGGGGTTCTGAGAAAGGTTAATTTGAAGGTGTCTTTTGAACATTCATATACAGATATGAAGTGGGCAGCTGGATATACAGGTCAGGAGAGAGATCAGAGCTGGTGCTACTGATTTGGGAGTTGTTGGCATACTGATGTTCAGAGCTATCGGACGAGGTAATGTCAGCTGGGGAGTCAGTGTAGCCATACAACGGAGAGGGCCTAGGATAGAACTCTGGGACTCACCAACATTTATAGAGAGTTAAACAGAAGAGGAAGAGAAGCCAGCAGAGGGGCCTGAGAACAATGTCCAGTGGGGAAGGAGAAAAAAACCAAGACAGTGTGGTGTCTTCAGAGGCAAATGTTTCAAGATGAGAGGAGTGCTACTGAGAGGTCAAGTTAAGAAGAAGAGAGACCCCCGGACAACTTTTTAACTCTGACTGAAGGCGCTCCTGACGTTCCCCCTTTCAGCCAAAGATTAGACAGGCCTGTATAAAACAATAATACACGTAGTTCAACCAGGTATATGATACTAAATGGGCACACCAGCCCAGGGGCAAGAACGAGAAGGCAGCAGGAGACAGGAAAGCTGGACGAATGGAAATGGGGCACCCAAGGTTGAGAGGGGGAGAGTGTTGACATGTCATGGGGTTGGCAACCAATGTCAAAAAACAATTTGTGTTTTTAATTGTTTAATGAGAAACTGATTTGCTCTGTAAACCTTCACCTAATGCACAATTTAAAAAAAAAGAACAGAGACTTGACCACTGGATTTGTCAGCATGATGTTCATTAGAGATTTCTGACTGGGCTAGAAGACAGAAGAAACAATCAAAGAAGTTGAGTATATAGCAGAGTTTGATGATGATAAACCAAACCCATTGCTGTTGAGTCAATTCCGACTCACATAGCGACCCTATATGACAGAGTAGAACTGTCGCATAGGGTTTTTTTTTTTATTTTTTTAAATTATAATTTAAATGAAGGTTTACAGAACAAATAGTTTCTTATTAAACAGTCAGTACACATATTGTTTTATGACATTGGTTACAACCCCACGACATGTCAATAGTCTCCCTTCTTGACCTTGGAGGACC